TATATATTAAAAATAGTTATATAATTTTAAAGTGTATGATGTATCATTATTTAAGTACGTATAAGATGTTATTTTATTTTTAAAATTTTAAAATTAAAAATTAGGTTTTGACTGAAAATAAAATAAAAAGCCTTAAAAATAATTTTACTCCCTACAAAATTAGTTTGTTTTTATTTTAGTCCTATAAAAAAATTTCTTTATTTTTCATCTATCCAAAATTGAAACTATTATTTTTAGTCCCTATTTTTTATGTGATCATTTTTAACCACTTTTTTTTGTTAACATAAAATATTAATAATATCATGTGAATATTTAATACTTCTAAAAGTTTGTTTAGATCTTTAAAATAATTGTTATTCATTTACCTTAAAATAATAGTTAGAAACAAAAAAATAATGACTTTGAATTTTATATGGATGAAAATTGAAAAAAAAATGTATTTTACAAAGATCAAATCAAAATTTATTTATTTTATAAGGATCAAAACAATGTTTACATATTTATAAGGATAAAAAAATAAATAAATAATTTACAAATATAAAAAACAAAACTCTTAATTTTAAATGGAATAAAATCATATTCAAGTCAAATAAAAATATAAAAATTATTAAATAATTTTTAAAATGAAATTATACATCACAGTAATATTAAAAATAATAATAAAAATAAAAAAATTGATGGTCACCTTTCACCTAATTTTAATTTATACAAAAATAATATTAATAAAATATAATAAACCAATTATATATACAATTATGATTAAAAATTAAGGATCATAAATTTTAAAATTTATGATTCTTAATTTTTAATTTTTAAAATTTTTAAAATAATCTTTAATGATTATAAAGTTTGTTTTACGACTTGATGCTCGTACATCAATTTATGTTAATATTAAAATAATATTTAATCAATATGAGTTATATTTCATAATAGATCATATCTATAAAAAAATAAAAAGTTTTTTTTTTAAAAATTCAAAACTAATCCAACAAAACATGAAATATGTTATTGGATTAAACAATATTTTGTGTATAATATAACTAATTCATCAAATAAAATAAAACTTAAATTAAGATGTAACTTATAACATTTATTTATACAAATAATATTATTATACAAAATATTAGTTATTAAATAAAAATTGTTATTGACTAACAATTGTTAAGAAAAAAGAATTGTATTTTTTTTTTTAAAATGTGGATTTTTGAATTAGATTGGAACAACGTGGAGTATAACATGAAATTTTTCATGTCATGAAACACATATATTGGATCTAAATTCAAAATATTAATTCATCCAAATCAACTTCGTGATGAGGATTGGAAACATTTTTTGATATAAGTTAAAAGTGATTTTGAGAGTTTCTTTATTAAAAATAAAATGTATTTTTTGTGAAAAAAATTTAAAAAAAATTATAAATTCTATTGGTATTTCTCATCTATTTTTTTTACATATGATTGTTTGTTGTTTACTAAGACCAAGTCTTCCTAGATAAAACTTGTTAAAGAAGTTTTTGATGCATTCTGTCTAGCCTTTGGACTGAAAGTTAATATTCAAAAGTCCATAATTATGATGTCTAATGTGAAGGTGGACATATATGTGACTATAACTTAATTCTGACATACTTGCCAAATTAGAAAATATTTGGGTTTCCCAATGTTATCTAGTACTAGTAGGGTCCAAAATAGTGATTTCAACTATATTCTTACAATCATGATGTTTCTTTTCGGCATTAGAATTATTGTCTACCAAAGTTAACTTCTCTATTATTATTTGATGTTATGTGAATTTTATACTTGAGTTTGTAATTTTTGTTTCTTGTTTGCGTTTTTTAATTCTTACTTAAAAAAAATAAAATCTCTTACTCATCCTAAATTAGTGGCTAATATAATTAATCTTTTTAATAATTTATTATTGACAGCAAGCAAAGGGTGATCCCAATCCAACAATCCTTATATACGTTTGTTTAATGGGCTTTCTTATGCAAATGTGCTATTGAACAAGGAACAGGCCGTCGGTGCTAAAATAGACATGGGTCGATCCACACATCACAAGGCAAAAGTGACAAGCTAAATTTTCTCTACTAGACATTGCCTAGGAAAATTTCATTATTTCTTTTACAAATAAACATATTGGATCTTTTTTCTATAACAATGTGTGAATTAGGGATAAAAAGAAATAACCATGTGTGAATACATTATTAATGTCTATTGCATAGTTATGAATTAATAAAGTAGCAGTTGGTATTGATAATCATGGCCCATGAACCATGGGGGAAAACAACAAAATATTATGAATAATTTTAAATTGTGTTAAAGTGAATTGGCAGCTGGTTGTTGGCATGATTGAAGCAAACAATGATGCAGTAGTTAAAAAAAGGCAATGAGATTTTGTGCCAGTTATGCAATAACTACAAATTCATCTGCTACTATTCACAATCATAACCATCAGCACCTATGCTTTTCATCTATATTAACTCGCAAATTCCTACACATGAAAGCTCTCAACACCCACCTGTTCTGTGAATTAAACACCACATTGTATGGAGTATCAACATTTTGCCTTTGCCTGCAACTTCCAAATTAATATATATATATATCTTCTTATTATCTTTCTCATATTATATTTATAAAAAAATATATATATAAAATCATGTGATGCTTGGCTGTCTCTATATTACGCGTTTTTCTTCGTTCCCACGCCACATGGTTATAACACGTAACTTTCCTTCCTTGTTTGCTTCTTAAAATACAGACAACATACAACCAAATATGCTCTTACATCTTTATCCCATTTACATTACATTTTAACTATTACTTCTTCCATTTCAAGTATCGATTAAAGAAAAAAAATAGTTTCAAATTTAGTAGGAATGAAAAAAAAAAACTGGACTAAAATGGTCATTGTTTTAAAAATGCTAAATAAATATTACGCGTTAAACGATGTATATTTTGAGAGAGATGATGTATTGATAATATTGAAAAAAACAGCAAAATTCAGAGCTATTAGCAATCATAAAAGTCATAATTCATCTTGTTGTTAGACTGGTCATATCGTGTGTTGATTGATGTTGAAGTTATAACTCACAACAATGAATAAAAATAAATAAATGATAAATGTAAAGAATAGAAGTAAAGGAATAAAGGGAATGATAAATACAGGGTTCCTTTTGACTTCCCGCTTCTCTTGCGCGTGACTGCCTTCCTAGTCGACACCACAATCACACGCAATCCCATTCACATTTTCACAAATAAAATCATACTTTTAAAAACCGGTATTCGAATGGTTAAGGTACTGGGTTAGTAAGTCAAAAGTTGAACCGGTGAGTTATTAGTTGAACTGCATGACTCAATTTTTATTTATTTTTATTAAAAAATATTTATATTAAATATATTTTATACTTATAAATTTTAATAAATTCATATCTTATTTTAAATTTTAATTTTTCTATC